CAGACTGGTACAACTAGAGGTCATTCACAGACTGGTACAACTAGAGGTCATGCATAGATTGGTACAACTGGAGGTCGTACAGACTGGTACAACTGGAGGTTGTACAGACTGGTACAACTAGAGGTCATTCACAGACTGGTACAACTGGAGGTCATGCACAGACTGGTACATCTGGAGGTCACTGACTAAACACCTGGTGTCATCCAAGAAATGCTGGTTTCTGACACCTGTGGCCCAGTTGTCTAAGGTGCCAAGGCTAGCAATGCAGAGTTTTGTTTCCATTTAGCATGCCAGAATGTGAAGGTCTTGGGTTAGAATTTCAGATTCCAACTGATGATTCTTATTGCTAGATTTTATTTTAATTAATTTCATCTATGACTTCAAATATTCGGCCTCTCAAATATTAGGCCTTGTCTCATGCCGAACACATGATGTTCACCATTACTTTAACTATAACATCTAGTAATAAGGTCACCCTCATCAATAACACCTGGTGTCATCCCTTACTGTAGAACATGCCTGACCACCTGGTGTCAATGCAGCTCAGAGTGACGTTTTTGGAATGAGTTGTCTCCCTTGTAAAAGAAAGCCCAATGCCTTGGCGGCATTATACTACTTAATTCAGCAACAATTGTTTTCTTCACAAAACCAAGAGCCCTGAGTGTATTTTGTGTAAGAATAAATTTCAAATAGAGGGTTATGCCGTTTCTTCCTTAGTGACCAGTTTTAAAAGAAACACTGACCCAAATCACAGAATCAGTTTTCAAACCAGTGTGAATCTTTTAAAAAAGAAAAAGAGAGGGAAAAAAATCAATATGTCTTTGTGTTTTCATAATTGGAAATGTGACCTTAATACCAAACCCCACATGCTATCTGCATTTAGTATGAGCTAGCTCTCCGATGCTGATTAAATCCCTTGGATGTATCACCAACTATTGAAAACAATCCTTCAGCTCCCATCATATTATTTGCCAAAAAAATTAAACAGTAATTGGATTAATCTCTGCGTATTTTGGACACAACAACCAGAGTCATACACCATTTGTCTTCTTAAATAAGGACGAAATCGATTTCCATTTCATTGTGACGATTCATCTAAAACCAAGTCGGCATACCGCCCCATTCAGAGTTTGATGTTTTGTAAAATGATCCAAGAATTGACAATCTTTGGCCCCTCTGCTCTCGATCTTACAACATGAAGTCCCTGGATGTCCTCTAGGGCGAGGGTCACAAGGCTTGACTATAATCGAGTGGGTACACCTAGGCTTGTGCAGTGATGCACATGCGTCTATTGTTGCTAGGTAGAGCGCTGCATGCATTCTGCTGACCTTCTCTGCCCCAATGCAGCAGTCTTTGGAATCTAATTACATTGCCTCTAGTCAAGCTTGCTTACAAACAATGGCTAAAGTGATCGCAGTTCGTTCTAATGAGTTATGCAGAAAAGATTGGATTTCCTACGTTTTAGAAGTTCAGCGTTACTTTTCAATAGACCGGCTCCATTTGATAATGATTAAGTAATGCAGAAACGATTGAATTTCCTACAATTTGGCAGTCCGTCGTTTTGCGCAGGGGTCAAAGCAAATAATGTCGAGTGTCTACGGCCTGGTTTGGCTATTTTAGCAAACATGAAATCTGTCATAAATCTGAAGGTGGATGTCAGAAGTCCACCAATCGAATGCACTTGTCAGAGGGACGTTCCGCCTGATTTCACTGCAGCTGCATTTTTCACGGCGATAACCAAATCGTCCAACGGATTATCAATTCTTCACAGATGATGCAATTTCTGGCTTGGCGTGGAGGGTAGTTTATAACCTTTTCCTGATCGATTAAACAATTTTCAATGTTGAGGCATTGATTAACTCTAGCTATTTTGTATCACAGCGCCGGTCATGATGGACAAAAAAGGAAATGAGAGAGAGGACAAGACCGGAGATAATACTGGCATATATTCATTGCCCACTCACGTGGATGCAGCCTGACAAGCAGACGACACTCGTTTGTTTTACCACTGCGTCTGCTCGTTTCAAGAATTTGGAAGAGGCTCCTTTAGGCTTCTTATCTGAACAGCAAAATGGCCGACATTCGCCCTTGATCCTTTGGGCTGACCAAATCGGCCATATTGTACCAGACACGTCTGATGTGTTCAGTCAAACAGAAAAAGCTGCAATATCACTAGAAGCAAGGGAAGGCTAGTGTCGCAGTCCATTTGCTCCGTGGTGCTAATTATTTCCACTTCATTAGGTTTCACTTAAAAGACTAGGTTTGATGACACTTTGCGCTCGCCGTGTTCATCCTTTGTGTGGAATTCACCACTTGAAACAATCCAAGACCAATCTTAATTTCACCGCCTAAGACTCATTACTTCGAAACAAGATTTCCAGCATCTGCCCTCGTAATAAATTTTTAAACCTGGAATTGGTACGCTGTAAATTTTAGATTTTGATTTGTCTCCCTTTGTGCGAAGACTCCTAAAAAACAAAGACGTTAAGATGTGATTAGGTTTTAGTGGCTAGAGAGATTTATTACACCTAGTTTTTGTGAGTACTTCCTTTGAAGAAAAGTAGAAAATGAAAGTAAAATTGAATAAAACCATAGGACATTGCACAAGTTATTCAAGCATTAGTAGGTTCTGGCTTGTTATTGTCCTGGTTTATCTGCCGATACCACCAGTAGATCCGTCTGTTTTTTGTAATTATGCCATTAATTTCTGTAAACCTGGGTGTAGACGTTCGGTTGTTACGTTTTTCTCACATTAATGTATTTAGTAGACGAACATTATGCAGCTAATCTTGTGACAGTCACTGGGAATATTTGATTCTTTCCAAACGGACAGTTTATCAGTAGCTTATGATGGGATAGTGGACCTGTGATAGTGGTTTGATCCCTGGCCATGTGAAGAGGTGGTACTTATTGTTTCCCTGCCTGGTGCCTTGAGTATAGTATAGTTTTATGCCGCTCTCAGCAATATTCCAGCTATATGGCGGGCCTGGTGCCTGGAATGGAATGGGCGATACCAGGAGTAGTCGGCTTGGTGGCTGATAGAGTATCCTTGTTAACACACCTGGGGGTACAGCTTTTTGAGAAATGGAGGTGCACAGTTCATTTTCACGAGAGTTTCAATGGTCATTTAATAAACTTTCTGGATCTGCTATGCACGTCAGTCAAGAGTTTTGATCATTATTACATAAAAGGGCAATCAAGTGGTCAAGCGATATATTTGACATGCAGAAAGACAAGGTTCAATTCCTAGCATGGATGATGCTTACCTGATGTTTCCTCTTCCATGACATTGTGGGAAATATAGTGATTTGTGAGTAAAACCAGACTCCCTCACTCACTTACTACATGGTCTCTGCCTGTTTTTGAGGCTGATGGCTAATGATACAAGCGTCACCAAAGATGTAGTTCTCATTGACTGGACTCCACCTGCATTCTGTCAGCCGCTTGAAGTCATTGCATGATAACAAGGCATAGTGCCCTGAATTCTGTGAGAGCCCCAGAAAGTCAATTAGTTTGTCAGTGATGGAATAAATTCTTCTATTCTGTGCACTTCATTTGAATTATGGACATCTATGGATGCCATTATGATGATACCTGCCTGTTTTTGTCCTCATACCCAGGTTAGATTCCCCATATGGGTACAGTGTGTTAAGCCCATTTCTGGTGTACCCTGCTGTGATATTACTTGAATATTGATAAAAGCAGCGTAAAACCATACTCACTAACTCATACTGTGTTCATAACTATGCCAGCATTCCAGTCTTACTAATATCAGGTCTGTTAATCTGATTTGATACCTCTGTGTAGACCTGAAGAGACTTCTCCTTTATTTGTCACATCAGGTGAGCTTCCTCATCAGCCAATGAAATGCCACTTCTTATGAAGTCTGGTACTGACGATTAGGTGATTTATTGAGAAAGTGATATCCCAAAAATAACGTGTTACATATGACCACTTTCTAAATGGTGTGTATTCATAGTACAGGTGAGCTAGTAATCAGTATAATTTGTTTCTAAGGGACTGTTAATAATTTATGACTGTGTGTGTGTGTGTGTGTGTGTGTGTGTGAGAGAGTGATATGATGATGTTTAGGGGGGTCATTCATTTTGTTTTGGGAAGGTAGGGGATAATCAATTTTCTTTTGCATGAAAGTATTAAATAGTTATGCTTCAAAATTATGGGGAGAGGGGGTTCATGGGAGGGGTGGGGGTGTTAATTTACTTTGTACATAAATTTTAGAGAGGGTCATTCACATTGTACATGCTTCTCCATAAATACCATCATCACCTCCCCAAGCCATGGATTATGAACGGTCCCCAAGGGAATATTCAGTTCCATGTGGAATGTAATTGAGGCTATTTTATGTTAGTGGATGTTATGTACACTTTGTTGTTTCTCAGAAAAGGAGCATCTGCATCCATAAATTAAAGGTTGTGTTCCTAAATATTTTAGAATTGATGGGGTTAAGGCATTAACCCCAACTGTTTGAGAAGCTGACATTTGACTGGCTGAACAACTCATGCATCCTTCATTTAGATTTGATGGTCAAAGTTTGGTTCGCGTTCGCCTGACCTTATGTTCAAGAATTGGCAGATCTTGATGCAGTAGAGTTCAAAATCTGATTTTAAAGAGATTACCCAACACTCACAACCAAGGGTGGAATGGTTCACCAATGCATTGATGCATCACTGTACATCAAATGTTGATATGACTATCACGTGTTAGGTTTCCATAAAGATGTGATTGTATGGTGAATTTACTGCAGCCATTTTCAATTTTTATTGTTTGCAAACATGTTTGTTAAAATTCAACCAAAAAGCATTGATTGCACAGTAACAGATATTGGTTTATTAGTTTGTGACCATGTTTCTGTATGATACCTATCATTTCATTACATCCTGCTTCACGTGTGACTTGCCACGTTAATGTTCATGGTTCTTATTGCAGGGAGAAGACATTGTAGTACGTACACTGTTCTTACATTCATTCATTTTTTTCAGAAATCCACTGATGTCATTGCCAAAATTCCAACTATAATGCTTTCCATATCTTACCGTGGTGTCAAGTTCATTGATGCCAAATCCAAGGTTAGTATGACATTCAAATACCAACAACATCGAGGACCATTCTAATAACCTCCAGTTCACATATAAACACATTTTGCAAAGGGGTCTTGTTGTCAAAATCAAAAGGTCAAAATATGTTTATTTGTATGTAAGGCCACCGGCCCATATACAGCGGTTACAAAGAAGGTTCTCATTTAGGAGGATAACAATTGTTTTCTTAACATAATAGCATGATGGATATACAGTGATAATCTTTTTAACATGGAGACATCGCATGAGGAAACAATTTTGTAAAATGCTGCATTATTACTTCTGATTGTAATACAGTTATGGAGATAATCAGAACGGATTTTATTATAGGGTCTTGTTGTCACAAACAACACAAGTCTTATAACCTTAGGGGGCACTGGGGTAGTCTAGCGGTTAAAGCGTTCGCTCATCACTCCAAAGATCCGGGTTCAACTCCCCACATGGGTACGATGTGTGAAGCCCATTTCTGCTGTCCCCCATCTTGATATTGCTGGAATATTGACTAAAAGTTTGGCGTTTTAAATATTCCAAACTTCACTCACCACTTTTTATCTTAGAAAGTTCTTTTGTCCTAGAGATTTAATGCATGTCAGGTTACTGTGCAAGATAAGCTGGAATATTGATTCAGGGCCCTAAAGTTCTTTTGTATAGAGTCTTAATGCATGTCAGGTTACTGTGCAAGATAGTCAGTCGTAAAGTTAATGTTAATGTATGGCACTTACGACTATCTTAACGCTAAGACAGCTTCAAAAATTTAGGCCCTGGTCTCAAACAATTACCACTTTACGGAAACCTAATTTCAACACAGCTACCAACTTGGCACCCCAGAGGTGGAAATAACCCATTGCCCGACGTCCGAGTCCAGTGTTTTTTTCTGTCTGGCAAGCAAATTTGCATATCGTGCTGTACCAGTGTCCAGTTGACTTTCCAATGTTAATTATGCTGTTTATTTAAGAAATCAACAAGAAAATAGGCCGGTATAGTGGAAAAATTATCAGGGCAAGTGATTTTATATGTGCCACTGTACCGGAGTACACTAGCAATTTTAAAGTTATTTCCACCCCTGCCCCCGTACCATCACCAATGTTATCATAAATGTACCTAAAACCGAACCTGATGATGTTGTTACAGAAAGTTATCTGTGATCATGAAATCGCCAACATCTTCTGCGCCTGCCAGGACTCAGAGCATCTCAACTTCTTTGCGTACATCACGAAGGACCGAGAGACCCAGAAACACTACTGTCATGTCTTCAGTGTGCGGAGCAGGGTAAGTACCAACAACAGGCTCACACAATGTCATTGTCACAATCACACAGAAATCAGGCATCTTTTGGTGGCACCAGAGCCTGGTTCCTTTGATAGTGCACTGCAAAAAGTCCCAAAACTTTCCCATTTCTATAGTTTTAACTGAGGTCATGCTAGGTTCATTTGACTTGTTGTTCACTGGTAACAGGACCAGTTGAGATGGAGAGGCCAAAATTCTTAGTTTTACAGTAATTTTTTTATTGAAGTTTTAAAATATATATATATAATGCTGTAAAGCTGAAAGTTAAAAAGGCCATGAAAAGAATCATTTCTGTTTCCAAGGATGCTCCCTTTCAAATCCGAGACAAGTCTCTGGTGAAGTCATTTCTGTGTGTGACTGAAATTAAATTTGGAGAGTGACATCTCTCCCTGTGTTGTATGTGACACTTAGCTCCATTTGCATTCTTGTTAGATGTAAATCTGACCTCCACATGAGACAAACGATCTTTTTTAGAAACAGAAATTCCCTTGTCAGGTAACATTTATCGACAGGTTGACTGCACAGCATTTTGTGGATATGGACTATGCTCTGTTTTACATGACAGTCCGAATCTTGACATTATTGGCAGCAACATGCCATACTGAGACATTGGAGGTCAAGGTCATGAAAACTTATATATACCAATAACATATACATGTTCTGATGCTTTGGTTTCCTGCGGTTCTGAATATTGTTCAAAGAGTTCAACTATGTCATGGGGTTAGAATGTTGTCATTTTGTTGAGTATGGTTTGGCACATCAATGGTCACTTAGGTACCAAAACGAATTTCAACACAATAAAATTACAATTTTCAGAAGAATTAGAAAAGAAATGTAGTTTCTTTTTCACTTTTGTAATGTGTTTGTGCAAGGTACGAGTTTACCTTGGTGACAAAGAGACAGATATCATCTGAGAGAGTCAAGCCCTGCTTTGTCTTTCATCAAAGACGTAAGTCTCCATAATGGAGGGACAGTCTTCCTCGTTTGCCAGTGATGAATTTACTCTGCCTCGTGGCCCTAGCTTGCGTATAATTTTCCCGTGCCTAGGTCGTGAGATTGTTTATGCATTGACGCCTTTGTAGGATGTTTTCCAAACGTGGGTTGTATTTCTTCTTCTCTGCGTACTTGATTCCCTTAGTGATGGAACGTGTTGCAGCTTTGTTGAACATTTGCCTTGTGTTTAATTGGCCTTTCTGTAACCAGTGATCAGTCACTGGTTGGAACTCTTGTACACTTACATGTTCTTCAGTTTTAAACTTTAATGTCTTGTGTGTTTTCTGTTTTTTCTTGGTTTGGGTGCTTTTTTAAAACATTAGTTATTTATTTTTTAAAGCAAAATGATATATATGTATATATATCTTTCAGTACATGCATTATTTCTTCTTTTCAAGTCAAATACACCATTATTAAAAAAGTATTATACAATATTAAGACATGTAATAGTAGATAAAACATCTAATTAACACTTCATGTCAAGTAAAATGATTGGAAAATTTGTAAGAACCTATTTGATGTACTGTTCAAAAAGTCTGCAGGCCTGTTTGACATGTAAATGGATTTGAACCCTTGATGTCCATGGGTACCTCATTAATCAGTCTGTCATATCCACACACCTGTGATGGCTAGACAGGAGTTATGTCCCTTTGACTGGGCAGGTGACAACAGTACACTTTGGGGTGTTGATGTCATTAATTGTAAGTTGTGGAATTGCAAGCTCTCTGAAGTAGCTAGTCTCTCTCAGCTTTACACATATTTCTTTTGTAGGAAAAATGGCATATGTTATAAGAATATATTATGAATCAAATTGTGGACTTTGAAATGGTCTTTGTATTGCGGTGATGCTTAAGCACACACCGTGACAGATCAACTAAATTGAAGTAGGAGAGATTACCTATTTAGGAACCCCATTAAGACACTGAGGATACTGAAAGAAAAAGCATGCCCATGTATTCAAGATTTAAAATATTTTGGTTTTTTAAATGTTTTCAGAAAAATGGATACCATTCACTTTCTAAAGCTTTCAGAGCTTTGTTGTGCAGGGTTTTTTGCCCCAATAACGACCAAATCATCATAAACATTTCAGTCTTGATTATTTAATGCTCCGTAATAAAAAGTGTTTGTGTGACTGTTTAATTTTTTGTGAAAAAATCATTATATGAAAATATCTGTAATCATGTTGAACATTTCACTGATAGTCGCGCAGTTGTATTCCATCAGTTCTGCTACTGTTTCTTCAAGATCTGGATAGCTGATACCTGTCTTACGGTTGTATTTCCTTGAGTGGTAAAGACTTAACAAGACAGAGGAAATCAGATACTTCTTCAAGGGGATTTCACAGTATTTGGTTAATCCTGTACTCTGTTTATTCAATAAAGTGATCCATGTTTTCAACACAAACATTAAAACAGGTCCCGAAACCTGTATCAGTAGTGATACTCAGGTGAAAGCCAGGTGAGACGGTAAGATTATCTCGTTAGCAGACACACAGGTGGAAGTACTATATCGTCATCTGCACAAATTAGCTAGGTGTCACTTACATCATCGAGGGTCAAATTGTTAAAAGGATGTAATTACAGACAACTAAAAGTTTAGGAGTTTGGCGTTCCTCCAAGGCAGACTTACAAATAATTGTCCCTGTGTAAATTACAGCTTTATAGCTTATTAACACATTGTAGTAATAGCTACAGGAGCGCCACAATTTGTTTCAAGTCAAAATTACAAGTTTCAAGTAGTGTGCGTGCTTTGTACCAGGGGTTTATAAGATCGGCCTCTTGTCCCAAACAACAAATTATACATCTTGAGGTGAACTCTTTTGTCCAGAGAAAGAAGTAGTTCCCCCTTTGATGATGGGAGCTTTGAGGGCCACAATACCCCTTTCTGGTGGACCTATCGCCCGTGACTTGCCCTCGGTGGAGGATGAGCCGAGACAACGATGTCATTGCCACAATACTCGCGGGCCGACACAAACTTACGAGGACAGATGGTTACACCCCGCCTTCTTTGTTGGTCACAGCATCTGTCCGGTCCCAATTAGAAACAAGTTGGCAATTCGGGCCTAATGGGCCATCATTATGGAGCTAAGGCCGACATTTGGAGTCGTTTACCAGCAGTTTCATGTCATATCCCTGGCAAAGATTGATGTGATATATGCTTCATTTGCAAAAAAAGCAGGCAAAATGTGTGCTTGCTTTGTTGGAGCATTGTTTTGAAATGCCTATAGTCGGGGTCTGAAGGAAACTTTGATGTGCTTTTCTTGAGTGTGATGTAGAGCCTGTAATTTGGAAACAACAATTAAGAAAATGTCTTCGGTTTGACTGTTTCTCACTGATTTGGGCCAAGACAGACAGTTTTTTATTTTACATTTTATCTATCTATACACAGTTAGAAATAAAAGGGAACTTTTGTATCTTAAAGTCTGTTTAATCCTTTTCATGTGTAGAAAATTAAAAGAAAAAATTAAACTTTTTGCCAAGATAATGTTATGATAAAAGACAATCTACATCAATGATACTTCTGCTTGGGTATTGGAGTCACAGGGAAATCTTAAAGAAAAAGCATGGAATGATATGTGTATAAGAATCTGATACAGTTATTTGTTCAAGTATATTTATCACATCAGCTCAATGCTTTGCTGGCATGACATCATGCACAGTCATGTGTGACATCATCCACAGTCTTCTGTGACATCATACACAATCTACTGTGACATCATACACAATCTCCTGTGATGTCATGCACAATGGATGACATCTTCAATTATTTACAACAATGGACTGATTGTTTTGCTTTGCTACCTTGCACTTAACAGAACAGTGGAACGTGAAGGGTGGGACAGTCAGTCATCATGACCAAACCATATGTCTTGGTGACATTCTTTGATCGGTATTAGTGAGCTGTGAATCACAAAATTTTCAAGTGATTTTATGACAAGAGTTTTCAACTGACCTTCAACACTATCACTAAAACTTACATGGCGAAACTTTAAATAACTCAGTCAATGTTTGTTTCTTGATGGTGTCAATGTTATAAAAACTTGTAAATAAAATACAGTATCAAGTTAAGTTTCTATAGATAGTATTGAATTATCGTCTTAATGTTTCAAGTGAAACCTAAGCTGTAGTGACTTGAGAAAGAAGTTCACTGTGAGGTATTTAACAATGTATATCACTTTCCTGCAGTTGTTACAATGTTACGTATATACCTTATCTACAGCCATATAGCCTGGAGGGGTGTTGGCTTGGCTGATGGGATAGGGCAGTGCTGGGATTAGCTGATGCTATCGCAATGTTGCAAACTGCTGAGTTGAAAAACAGGTGTTGTTAAAGTAAACAACGATGAACAGAAGTGCGAGTAACCCGTCCTGCTGATTACTCTCTGATTATCCACGTAACATTGTTAGCTCTGCCGTGTTTGTCACAAGGTCAACTTGGGGAGAATCCTATGTGTCAGGGAGGGGTTTTTGTTTGGATAGAAAATAAGTTAGGAATAAGTAAAGGAAATTAAAATGGAGACATTTCACACAGAGTTAAGAGGTAGAGTTTCAAATTACCATTGCTCCACTGTTCTGATTGAAGGGACAAGAGGTGTTCTGGGTGGGACATTTGTGTTGTGATGGACGTATAATTACTGTAACTGTTTGTGCTTCTATAAAGTTTACTTAACATCTAGAATCGGGGCAAGTGCCACAGGCCATGTGCTTTTCATGGGTGTATTGTACATTACTCTGACAATGGACCGACAAATTTGCCTGAAAATTGTATGTAAACATTTTCTCTTACTACAGGGGGTAGAATGAATTCGAGATGTGCTATACATGGAGGTATAGTGAAGGGAGAAATATGATCTCTGAAAAATTAGCCATTGTTAGATTGTAGAGTCGGAACCTAATTGTTGAAATCCTGGGTGATCCCTTTAGGGTAGATCTTTGCAGCACGAGCTTAGAGGGGAGGGGTGGAAATTAACAAGGCAGTAATTCTATCAGT